ACAATGAGCATAAATGTAGGGCCAAGACCTAGTAAGCATTGCAGAATTAAAGCTAAACTAACCAAAAACAAATAAAACATATAAAGTAATAAGATAAGTAATAAATGGAAAGATAATGAAGGGATTTGAGTTCTTAATTCCAAATAAGGAATACAATATGACAGTTTAATATTATGAGATACTAATGGTTTTTTTTAATATCTAATTGACATAACACTTGGTTATAAGTATAAATATTTATGCCACTGAGTGGTACAATGTTACTATATGATATCTATGACCAGTAGGATAGTATCTTCCCCCGTATATGGAACCCTTTGTATTGACTACCCCCTACCTTAGTAACTCTATTGTGATTTTACTTGAGATAAGATTTATCAGTGTGCTTTACTTTCTTTTTAAGAAGACAAGTTTAGATCTTGAATGTAATGTGAACTAAAATTTTGGAGATATTGGCTAAATGCCAGTTCATTTGAACACTCATATGATGCTGATATATTTGTTGACAGAGATTATTAGCAGAAGGGGAAAGATAGCAGCTATGAAAATTTCTGTGCAGCGGAAGTGAAAACATTTCCACTTCACTTAGTGATCCTATTTTCAGTCCAACTGTTCTCACTGGAGGTAGCCCTTCCTATTCATTTTCCAGGAGGAATAATAATACAGTATTATCAACCAAATCTAACAAACATAAAGCCTAATTTAAAGAATCTGTGAATCTTGGCTCTTTCCCAGACATACTTGCAGTCCAAATATAGTAAGATTCCATAATTTCTTTTCCCAATTAGATATTGGAAACAACCCAGCTTAGTTTCAATTTATTGTGTGACATGATAACCTTCTAAGGTAGCAGAAAATGTGCTTAACTTATAATTGTCATATTTTCTTGAGCAGGATAGAATGACTTGAGTTAATCTTGGAATATAACTAAGATGAAAAAAAGTGGCATAAACAAAATATGTTAATTTGAATTTAGAAATAACCTCATAAAAATTTAATGAAGTTAGGACAAGACATCAGCAGTTAGTATCAACTTAGCTGTTCTGGTTTGGGAAGTTGGCCACTATCCATGCCATTCAACAGTGCCTCATCTTCAATAAAAACCAGAGCAGAAGTTTAGCCTAATAAGAATCTGAAATCTGGTTTTGACCCTGCACTTAATTTTCTTAGTGACAGAGATGTGGCTGCCTTCATTTTACCTCTATTAGAGAACTGAAGTGTAGGAGCTAGATTAGATCAATCTTCCCCAGACATTGGCTAATCCAGCCAGATCACTTAGTTTCAATATTTCTACAGGAGTTGTAAATAGCAGTCTTAGAATCAAAATGTTCATGTCAATTTCATCAAAATTTTGGGATATACAAAGTCCTATATACATGTCGAATATATTAGTACTGACTTCAGAAATAAGAAAGTAATTCTCACGGCCTACTATCCAAGGAAGAACTGATTTTGTTTTTAAAAGCTGTCATTCAAAAAACATAGAAACAAACTAAACAAAAAACTAAGGGCTTTATTGTCAAGAAGACTTGTCAGGATTCAAACCTGTCCACATGGAACAAGCATAACCCAAAAGACATAAAATCAGAGCTTCAAAGGGAAGTAAGGGTCTAATTTTATGCTATAGAGTAGAATGATATGACAGTTCATACAAATTAAGATATTTGGGGGGGGCAAACAATACACTAGTACAGTATGTAGGGCGCTTACCTTGCGTGTGGCCAACGTAAACTTCATTCTCCAGTACCCCATATGGTACCTGAGTCCCACAAAAAGCAGTCTCTGACCACAGAGCCAGGAGTAAGCCCAGAGTACCACAGGGTATGGCCCACCCATCCTCAAGAAGTTTTATTCATAAACTCATGAATATTTATGAAGGGAAAAGTGGAATTGAGGGACATGCATATAGGTGGAGAAAAAAACGCTCTAAGGATGTGCTTCTAAGAATGGTGACGAGGAGAAAGGTGAGCATAAGTCAAGGAGAGCTCCACTGTATTCTCTCCACTGACTGTATTGTCCATTCAGATGTCTGTAGTTTGTGTATGTACAAAGGTAACCATAAAGCTCTGCCTTAGTCCAATTCAAATAAAAAAATGCAGCAAAGTGGTTTCTCCTAGGGATTGTCATAGTTCAAACCACAAGCCTCAGGCCTGTCTGTTTTTATTTTCCTTAACTCCAGAGAGTCCTTCTGGAGAAAGGGGAAGAAGGGAAAGACGTGTTTTAGAATTCCGAACACCTTTGTGTTTTAGAAGTATGCTAACAGCCTAGATCATGTGTGTTAGTATGCTTAGATCAGTGGGATCTTGACTAGCACTTCTTGACTAAATACATGAATAGTTCTTCAATTAGACATGTGAATTGATTATTCAGTGAAATTATGAAAAACTAAAAATCCTTATAAGGTCTCCTGTAGGATTTTGTTAGCAATTAGTTTGATGTGTGCTTGTAAAAGTTTTATAAACTGGTTTTGGATTTCTGAAATTGGGGTGGAAGGGTGGGGATGGACCTTATCAAGAAACCAATGATGTGTTATTACTTTGTGCAAGATTTAAGAATGTGCCAGTTGCACCAATCTGTGTAAATATTCTCTCAGAGTAGACACTGTTATCCATTTTCTATAGCTTAAAAAGAAGGGTCAAAACTACCTCAGCAAGCAGCCCCAAACCAGTCATCATATGAAAGAAAGGGAGTTGAAACTCAAGCCTGTGGCTCCAAAGACAAAAGACAACATTGTTTTCTCACTGCTGGGTCAAAACCTCTAGTTAGTGTGATTGTCTGCCCTTATTGCCTGCAAAGTTGAAAAATGCCTTGAAAACGTAACTAAGCATTTTATCGTCACTTTGCATAGTCTCTTGCAGAAAATTTCATTAAAAAATAATGCCATCTAATGATTCTCAAAATATTAGAAACAGAGCTCCCATTTGACCCAGCAATACCACTACTGGGAATATATCCTGGCAAGGCAAAAAAGTACAGTCAACCAAGATTAGTACCAGGAATTTTGCTCCATGGCTTGGAGGACAGCCACACATTCTAGGGGAAAAGGCAGCTCAGATAGAAAAGGGAGCACCAAATAAATAAAGGGTGTTGGGAGGATCCTCCCAGGATGGGAGAAGCATGCTGAAAGTAGACTATAGACCAAACATGATTGCCACTCAATGCCTCTTTTGCAAACCAGAATACCCAAAAGGAGAGAGAGAACAGAGGGGAATGCCCTGCCACAGAGGCAGGGTGGGATGGGGGGGGGGGGGATGGGGGGAGAGGGATACTGGAATCCGTGGTGGTGGGAAATGGGCACTGGCAGAGGGATGGGTATTTGATCATTGTATAATTGAAATCCAAGCACAAAATTTGTAAGTCTACAACTGTACCTCATGGTGTCTCACTAATAAAAAAAAAAAACGGAAAAAAAAGTACAGTCGAAATGACATCTGCACTTCTATGTTCATTGAAGCACTATTCACAATCGCCAAAATCTGGAAAAAACCCGAGTGCCCGAGAACAGATGATTGGTTAAAGAAACTTTGGTACATCTACACAATGGAATACTATGTAGCTGTTAGAAAAGATGAAGTCATGAAATTTACATACAAGTGATACTACATGGAAAGTGTCATGCTAAGAGAAATGAGTTAGAAAGAGAGGGACAGACATAGAAAGAGTGCATTCATCTGGGGAATATAAAGTAACAAATTGGGAGACTAACACCCAAGAATAGCCGAGATAAGTACCAGGAGGTTCACTCCATGGCTTAGAGGCCAGACGCACATGCTGAGGCAGAAGGCAGCTCAGATAGAGAGGGGAGCACCAAGTAAAGGGTGTTTGGAGGATCCTCCCAGGATGAGAGATACATGCTGAAAATAGACTACAGACCAAACATGATTGCTACTCAAAGCCTCTTTTGCAAACCACAGCATCCAAAAGGAGATATAGAACAAAAGGGAATGCCCTGCCACAGGACTGGAGTGGTATGGGGGTTGGGAGGTTGGGGGTGGAAGGGATGCTGGGAACATTGGAGGTGGGAATGAGCACCAGTGGAGGGATGGCTACTCCAACATTGTATAACTGAAACCCAAGAACAAAAATTTGTAAGTTTACAACTGTACCTCATGGTGTTTCAGTAATAAAAATTAAAAATAAATAAATAAATAATGCTGTCTTTAAAAAATAATGCCATCCAAATAGATCTGTACCTCATCCCTGAGCATTTGTCACGTTGAGCTATTTGACTTACTGTTGAATTTCTCCATTTAATTGATTTATCCAATGAGCACCAAATAGAAATTCTTCTGAACCATTCTCTTTTAGCATTTCTTATGCCAACATCTCAATTTCCCCCTTCTCTCTCGTTTTTCTAACTGGGGTACAGCTAGAGAACATCAATGAGAGATCTGGGAGTTTTCCAAGTCCCATAATTCAATTTACCAAATTCAGATTCCTTTACTATTTCTATTGTATATAAAATGAAGATTTTGGGTGATGGCTATCAACATGGCCTTTGATTTCATTTACCTGCTCAATGACAAACAACCAAATACCAAAGCCTAAATTTTACATTATAGCCTGTTGCTTTTACAAGTCTGTTTTCTTTGACCTCAAAAATACCTCTATTGACTCTTCAAGACCATATTCTCCCTTGGACACATATCTCACTTGCTTGTTTGTGTGTTTCTGTGCTTGCTCATTTCCTCTCTGGAGAAGCCTGTGTTCTCTCTTGAACACGCACTTTTCCTTTCTCTCCCCTCACATCTTTCTAAATAGGTTTGAATAAAAACTTTCTCATTTCACCAAAAAGTACTATTTTTTAAAGTATTGTGTTAGTTATTTTGCATAGACAGTTTCTGCTAAATTGGTCACTAAGTAGATAACATTAACACTGTCTTAGCATTTCCATTCACAGGTTGTTTCTAACAATTGACCTTTACTTTAGAATTGTACTGGCTTGCTAAAGCAATAAAGTTACAGTCATTTCTTTTTTGTCTTTTCTTTCCAATCCTTAGGTAAAAGGCCAAGCCTAAAAGTCCACATCAATACCACCAGTGACTCCATCCTCTTGAAGTTCCTGCGTCCAAATCCAAATGTAAAACTGGAAGGTTTTCTCCTGGGATATGGCAGCAATGTATCACCAAACCAGTACTTCCCTCTTCCCACAGATGGAAAAGTCACTGAGGCTGTAGTTGGTAAGATGTTTGACTTTCATGGAAGGAAGAGATGTAAAAGATAATGAGTGCTATGTGGAACAAAAAATTTGAAGTCACATATCATTTCTTTTAATACTTCAGCATAATAGAATGCCAGGATTAGTTTCTTACATTAGAGAAAATGTGGGACCAGAGACATAATACAACCGGTATGGTGCTTGCTCTGCACTTGCCAACCCTAGTTCTATCAGGAGCTATATATGGTCCCCCAAACACCATTGGGAGTGATCCTTGAGCACAAAGGCACGCAAAAGGCCTGAATAAAGCTAGGTGTAGCCCCAAAACCAAAATGAAAAAGATGTAATTCATATTCTGTAGGTCAAAATAGTAAATATATCCAACCCCATTGCCATTATACTTATAATCCCTGATCACATACTCTAAATCTCATAGGGAAAGAAAACACAGTTAATTCTCTATTACCTGGATTCATTATATATGAATTATATTCATTCAATATAATTCATTCATTCATTATATTCATTATAATTTTATCCTAGCTGTGTCTTTATTTTCTTCTGGTGGAAAACAGAAATTATGGTTTTGAGAAGTTATCCTGAAAAAGGAAAAAAGGTATTATATTTTGAAACATGTATTTTGGGAAGATTATTACAAGCTTTTGTGATATGAAATTTTTATAATTTTTGGAAAATAATTTTAGTCATTGAAATTGCAGTTAAGGATATGACACCATATATAACATATTTGCAAGTATGGATATTTAAGAGTATTTAAATGGATAACATTTTTTAAAGATGGAATCATATTGGACCTAAATAAAGTTCAAGTGGGAAACCACATAATTTTTCTGTGCAAGGTCTTGGGTTAGAGTCTTGTTACTGCATGGCCCACCCCAACTCTACTGGGTATGTCCTTCAGAATAAAGAAAGGGGATCATCTATGATGAGATCATCACTTTGAAGCAACACATGACAAAACAAAATGGTTATCAAAAAGTTTGAAAATGAGGCACTTAAAAAAATTTAACAACACTGTAACCACATAAACCATAAAGAATTGAAATTTTCCATAAATCCCAGCAACAGGCTCATTGTTTTGTTTTTGTCTTGTTTGGGGTCACACCATACTGCCTCTTTGCTTAAGGATCACTTCTGACAGGTTGAGAAAACAATATAGGGTGGCAGGGATTAAAGTCAGACTGGCAGTATGGAAGGCACTTTGTTCTGGCCCCCATTCTGTATTTATTATTTTTTAAAATTTTTATTTAAACAACAGTGATATTGATATTGAGAGTTGAGACATACAAAGCCATTGATAGTTGATAGTTGAGTTATAGGTATGTAATGTTCTTGCATCAATCTCACCATTGGTGTCAATTTCTTGTATCAGCCATCCAGTGTTTTCTCCATCTAGCTATACTCCTTGGGCTAGAGTGATAGCACAGCAGGTAGGGCGCTTGCCTTGCATGCAGCCAACCCAAACTGACCCCAGTTCAATTCCTCTGCCCCTCTCAGAGAGCCCCGCGAGCTACCAAGCGTATCTCACCCGCATGGCAGAGCATGGCAAGCTAACCGTGACATATTCGATATGCCAAAAACAGTAACAAATCTCACAATGGAGACGTCACTGGTGCTCGCTCGAGCAAATCGATGAACAATGGGAGGAAAGTGCTACAGTACTACAGCTATACTCCCTGAGATTAGTGGTATATTTGAGACCCCTGACCTCTGTTCCCCTGGTATACTTCCATTCCTCAAATTCTTCCATCCTCCTTTGATTTCTTTTCATCTCTATTTTTCTCCTCCCTATACTCTGGGATCAAAGGTGATCTAGAAATACCCCTCATTTAAAACATTGCAACACCTTGTCCAATTATTCTTTATACTACAGATAAGTGAGATCATTCTGTTTTTGTCCTTTTTCTTCTGGCAAATTTCACTCAACATGATATCTTCCAGTTCCATCCAGATTCCAGCAAATTGCGTGACTTCACTGTTCCTTGCAGCTGCATAGTATTCATTTGTGTATATATACCGCATCTTCATAATACCCATTCTGCATTTTATAAATATTTCCTCTGTTACCTGTTTTTCTTGTGAAAAGATATGTAGATTTGGAGGGTGTATTCCATTTGGGTTCAACTATTGTGGAGACCTAACCCATGCAGAGTGGTACATAATGACTGATGTTGGTTGTACTTACTGTATGCTGTGCTTAGGTGTGTTCCATGATAAATTTCACCTTAAGTCTTCACTTAATGGTTTTAGCCTCTTTTTGTATTATTTGTCCAGATCCATTTTTGATACTGCAGTTCTAAAAGTACAATTTTACATTTATTCAATATAGAACTAATTTTTATCATTACTTTTTATATTTTAGTTGAAATAAAATCTCTTTTCTTCATTAACTTTTTTTTGTATTTTTTAAAAATTTTACTCCACTTGTTTTTTTTTTTAATTTTTATTAGTGAAACACCATGAGGTACAGTTGTAGACTTACAAATTTTTGTGCTTGGGTTTCAGTTATGCTTAAAAACAAGACAAATTCTAATTGAAATAGCTTGTGCCCTTGTAATCTCTAATGGTGACTGATGATATTTTTTAATAATTATTAACAATGCATTGATTTTATAACTTTAATTTGAGTTTCACTAATTATATTTATATGTATCTAATGTTTACACTTATTGTCTACTCCAACTATTGTTGATCATTTACATAGTTTCACCATTAAGTCTTGGTTTATGGTTATTCATAATAGAATAATTTAAATTGAGTAAATATGTCATAAATTTTGTGTCAATAATTTAATAGTATAAAGTCTCTATACAAAATTTACTTGGAGGATATCGTGAGGGATTATTTATGTCCTTATCACCAGACAAATAAATACTTAGGCTATTTAAAGTAAATCACTTTGTATTTTAAATCTCTTTAGGGAGAAATTTTCAAACATCATCTAAAAGCCTCTAATAGGATTTTTAAAACCCTATCTCATCTTTTAGATCAGTATGTATTTTTTAAAAAAAAAATACCCTACCTTCTCTAATAGTATTTTAGTGAATTTAAAAACACATCGTATAAATTTCCTTTTCCACTATACTATAGATAAGCATTTGTATCTACTATTTTGTGTTTACCATTAAAGGTCTAACTTCCATTTTTTTGCCATTTAATTGAATCTTTCTATCCAATTTACTTACTCTATTCTTCCTTCCCTTCAGGGGAGTGGATACTATTTTGTTCTTATCATCTGGGAGATTGTTTTTATTTTATTTGTTCATTAGTTTTGCTTCTTTATATTTCACATAGTTAAAATCATACAGCATTTGTATCTCTCATTCTGACTTACTTAGAATTTTTCCTAGTCCATCTATGTTGATATAAATGACAAAATTTTATCTTTTATTATAGCTGAATAGACTCTGTAGTTTTGTCTTATAATTCATCACTGTTCTCACAAAAGGAATATGTAAATCTTCAGAAGACATAGCTGAGTTTCTCATCTCCAAATTTTACTTTTCCAATTTATATCTTACTCAATAAAGCATTTTTTGGTAAGAACATAGCAAAAAGTTTTTACCTATCCTACAAAACTTAGGTCAAATAAGAGCATAACACTGTTTCATTTAATTAGTTGATGATAATTTTATTCTGTATATCTGAGTCAAAATTATGTTTTTATTCTAAAGTTTCTCTTGCATTTAATTCAATTTTTAAATGAAATTTATAGACACTTATCTTGATATAGATAGTATCAATTATGTGCCTATAACTTTTTTAAAATTGAATCATCACGTGATATACAGTTACAAAGTTGTTCCTGATTGAGTTTCAGTCATATGATTTTCCAACTCCCAACACCAGTGTACATTTCCCAGCACCAGTGTTCCCAGTTTTCCCACCACCACCCTTACCCAGACTGCCTCAATGACCAGAACTTTTCTTTCTATGTTTCTATGTATCTGTCTCTGTCTGTCTGTCTGTCTGTCTGTCTGTCTGTCTGTCTCTGTCTCTGTCTCTGTCTCTGTCTCTCTCTCTCTCTCTCTCTCTCTCTCTCTCTCTCTCTCTCCTTCTCCTAAATGGTTTCCAGCTATTCTTTTCTCCTAATTATAAAAATATTTAACCATGCTTCACTTATTTTTGGAAGTGGAATGAGATCACACCCCCCCCCCAAAAAAAAGGAGGTCACAAGTGCCACAAGGAGTCAAGGGGTATTCATGGAAGAAGAGGTTGAAAGTAAACAATTAGTAAACAAGAATCAGCTTAAATAAACAAATAAGATATACATTGCCAGACCTTGAAACCAATTCAGTCACTATCTTCCTGTAAAAAACTACCAGGAACCACTAAGTCAATGATGGTTGGAGGGATCACTCGGGATGGGAGATGTGTGCTGAAAGTAGACAAAGGACCAAACATGATGGCCTCTCAGTATCTGTATTGCAAACCATAATGCCCAAAAGTAGAGAGAGAGTAAGAAGGAAAGTGCCTGCTATGGAGGCTGGGGGTGGAGGTGGGGGTGGTGGAAGGGATACTGAGGACTTTGGTGGTGGGAAAGGCACACTGGTGGACGAATGAGTGTTCAAACATTGCATGACTGAAACTCAATCATGAAAGCTTTGCAACTGCATCTCATGGTGATTCAAAAAAAATTAATTTAAAGAAAGCCTACCAGAAAAATAGCAAAAGACTGCTAGAAGACATTGCAAAACAACAGCTTGCAGTGAATTAAAGGTAGTTCCAAAATGCAGATGATAGTAGTTGTCATCAGTGATAAGTGTCAATTTCAGTTCCTTAATAAATATTAGTTTCTTATAACACTATTCTAATACTAATAATAGGTAGCATTAATTATTTACACATAAAGAAATGGAAGTGCTGAGAGTGCAAATAAATTTCCTTATGTTAGTCAGCTAGTCAGTAAAAGGATTTGGATTTGAAGCCAGGAAATTTAGCACTAAAATCTGAGTTCTGAAACAATGTACATTCTCAAAATTTTGGAAATGTTGTCTATTC